CCTGTTGCCCTGCTTGGGCCCCTTTTCAGCAGAGTTTCCAGTGATGATGCCTGACACACCCGTAGACTGAAGCAATGTAGCTGCTAAATCGAAGAAGGGCTTCTTTGTATCTCTGACCAATTGCTTTGTCATGCAATGTGACATCAGCCAAGAAGATTATGTTCTTTATCTTTCATCCTGGCCAAATTTCATATATATATATATATATATATATATATATATATATATATTCATATATATATATGCTTAATACATAGATGTTACCCCTTACTACCTTGTGAGAATAATAGTTTGAAAAAGCACAACCATCACACTGAATAGCAGAAGTCGGTGCCAGCAATAAATGAAGTTTGGTCAGTCCTTATCATATATTGCTTACAAACAAACACTCAGTAGGTTCAGAAAGACTATTTTTTTATCTTCCAACTCCCATATCATGATGTCATAGACTAAGTTTTCTCTTGTGAGTCAATGCCAGGATAGAAACATTAAATAAAACCTATAGCTCTCTTTGGACTTATGACAAGGAAGAGTAGGACCTACAAGTTGTCATATGTAATAAAAAGAACACTTTATAAATAAGAAGTCAAGAAAAACCAAGAGGGCCTCAAATCTGCAGGAGACAACCATTGGTGGCTGCAAAGAGGACCCAGATCTATGTATGTAATATGCAAAATGCACCCCAAAAGTGGCTTTGTTGTTATGCTTTAGTGATTTTGCTGAGGTGAGCCCCAATATATATTTGCAAGGATGTGTCTCCACTGTTCTTCTGAATCTTGAGTCTGACAATTATTAGTTATACATTTTATCTGTGTAATTTCAAAACCATGGAAACTTAAATTTAGAGAAGTTAATAAAATTACCCAAGAATCGGTGAGAAAGACTAGAACCAAGCTTGCCTCTGCCTCCCAGACAGCCCCTTTCTTCTATGCCATGCATCTTCCTACAGTTCCAGAGCCTTCAGATTCCACTCCTCATGTAGTTTTCATTCTCTTCTTCCCCGTCTCCTCCAGTTCAACCTTCTCTTTCACGGGGTTGTCTCACAGAGGGTTGATTCAATTGTTTCCAATTTAAGATTCCCAAGTCTAGGCTCTACCTCCATTCCTCCACTGCCTTCTTCAGAAGAGCAATGATGATACTAGACTAAGTTGGTGTACATAAAAGACAACATAAAATTGATCAGAGCACACTTCTTCAAACTTGGGGGTTTGGAGTCAGCTTGAAACTTAGACCTACTGGCCATGCATGAAATAATTTGCTAAGTGGCATGATGGGCATTTACAAAGGCAAGAATAAGAATTTAGAGAAGAAAGGCCAGTTAAGGTTCAGAGACAACTTTCAAAGGCTTTAGAATGCCCTCAAGAACATGAATTGAGCATAGTTACCCTTAGTTGCCTGTAGTAGTATTCCTTAGGGAATCACTACTAACATCGTTTCACAGTTTATACAATTCCTTATGTTGGACATTTCGCCTGAAAGAGCTGGCTAGGTGCTGTGCATAGCTAACAGGTGTAGGCAGAATTTAATTTTCGTGTGTGTGTGTGTGTGTGTTTCCCTGGCACACATTTTAGGTCAGTACAGATTATACACTGTGCTTTGCAAAATTTCTCACTTAGAAGGACCTCTGTTTCTTGCCTCTGGGTCTGTTTTTCTTCTATCTGCCTTTTATGCTATCATGTTTAGCCTTTTCCAGGAAAGTATTAAGAACTGGCCAAGTCACATCAGGAACGTGCCAGTTTCACTATCTTCTTTCTTCCTGGTCCCCATCTTCCCTCTCCGCATTTCTCACTGCTTGTGTCTCCAGGGACATTCTCTTTTCTCTCCTGTGCTGTATCCTTCCTATGGGTCCTGCTGACTCCGCCTTTCTCTGCTTTTCCCTCCTCTCTGTAGATGAATTTTCTTCTCCCTTGCTTTTGTCAGAAGAACAGAAACCAAAGACCTCTCCTACCCCAGAGAACCTGGAACTAACAGTATCGACTTCTCATAGTAGTGTATGGCAATCAGAATGTAAATAATGCTGTATAGAATTACGTTAGGGGCTGAGATGGCTTGGTCAGAGATTTCTATGTAAGTATGAACGCCTGAGTTCAGATCCCTGGCACCCATTAAAAAACCATGTGTGGCGCCTGTAATCCCGGCATCTAGGAAGCAGAGAGAAGAGAATAGTTGAAGTGAGTTGGCTAGACAGCATAATCAGCTAACTTGAGATTTAGTGAGATACCCTGTCTCTAAAAGTAAAGTGCAAAGTTCAGGAAGACATTCAATATTAGTCTCTGTCCTGCATCTGTATGTGTAGCCAGATACACATGAATACACACCTTTACTACTCTTCAACACACACACACACACACACACACACACACACACACACACACACACAGGGGAGTAGAGGAGGGAGAATGTGATTATTTCTGGATAAAGAAAGATTCAACATGGAGATGCCCAGACAAGTAACTTTTTAGTCTCCTCCCAGAGGTGGGATAGTGGGGCTTAGACTTCCACAGTGACCTTCAGAATCCCTTGCTGGTTAAGATACAGATTGCTGCCCCCCTACACCGTGCACATTCTAATGCAGTGGGTGTAGGGTTGACCTAAGAAGGTGTGATCTACTGAGTCCCCAAGTGATGACAAAGACACTAGTCAGGGGCCACACAGAGCCACTGAACTGTCCATCAAATGGTCTGGGTTTGGTTGTGCATGATAGCAGTGGGGGAAGGGAAGCAACCAGGGAGAAGAGAGCTTTGTTTCTGGTGGCATCCTCAAAGAGAACACAGCTCCCTAGGAAGCTCTGACTAATAGGTCGGTCTGGAGGGTCGGCTTCGGTGCAGGGCAGGGGAAAGGACAAGCGTGGAAAGCTCTGGACTGTAACCTTCTGGAAAGCACTAAAGCCAGCCCCAAACCCTGACATCCACCCGCGTACTTATGATGATGCATAGAAGCAGCAGAAGGGAACTCTCAGGATCTGTTTGATCTCTGTCCAGCTCCCTAAGCCCTCTGTCTGTTTATCTCCCTCTTTCCCTGGCCTCCTCTCTCCCCATCACCCCCTGCCCAGTGGATGATTCACTGCCTCCCCTTGCTTCCCCGCCCCACCCCACCACCATCTGTTTTTCTAATGATGGCAGAAGATGAGCTGTTCTGTTGGCCCCGCACCATAACCCAGCACACTCCACGCTAGCATTAGCCCTCGTGTATTCTCAGAATGCTGTTTTATGGGTATCTTTTCCCCGCTAAGTTTCCTCCACCCTTTCTCTCATCTCATGTGGATCCTGGTTTCCCAGAACTAGCTCAAGTGACTCCGAGATACCGAATAGGAGATTAATATGCATGCCTGCCTGCAGGCTGGGTATGCTTGAAGAGATTGTTGGAAATCAATGGCCGTTAAAGACGCTCTCTTTAGCACACTCCAAAGAGCCAAAAATATCTGGGCAGTGCTGCAAAGTGGCTTATTAACTTCCAAAGAGAGGTTTGGATGAAGAAATCTGCAGTGGCTTATGGGAAGTGGAGAAACCATGAGTAAGAGGAGTCCTGAGAGATTGGGTGCTGTTGACATGGCCACGGCCACCAAGAGGGGTAGCAAACCCTTTCAGGGCAGACAAAGTATGGGTGTTGACTGTCTATAGGAAAATGTCCACCCTAGCTTTCTCTCCCCTGATATCTAGAGCCTGCAGATTGCTCTCCTACAGAGACTGCTCCTACTAAGATTAGCTAAGCCTGTTCCCTTGATCCAACTGTTTATCATCAACTCAGCTTCCTTGTACAGTTGCAATAACCCCGCCCCTTTTTATATAATCAACTCTATATAAGAAACACACGAAGTCTCTCTGTGTGCTGCAGCATCTCCACAGAGATCCTCGCCCATCTGATGCCATTTTTTTTGTGCCTCCATGTATCTGCCTGTCTATCTGTCTGTCTTTTCTTCATGCATTCTTCAACCTCAGTCAGGCCTTTCCCTAGATCCAGCCATGCTGGGCAGGACAGTGCCTAGATTAGATTATGTATATTTGTCACCAGCTGTTCCCAGGATTGGAGGACTTGCATAAATGGGCTACGTATGTATCGTCCTTCTCAGTGTCAACAGTGCTCAAGTCAACTCTCTAGGCAATGCTCTGATTCAATCTAGTCTCCTCTTTGTCAGGTTAAAAAGTCATTATGCCAGAAGCGACCACTGAAAGGGGAATCCACTGTGGAGAAGGATGATGGGATTTCTTGATATAGTGAAGATCTAGGTCAGACCACTCGATGGTGCAATATACGTCTACCTAGAAAGTTGCTTAGACACCTCTATGACCTTGCAGTTGCTGCAAAGGAGGAGAGCCTCGGAAAGGTGACCACAGGGAAGAAGTGAACCACATGCTCACTAGAGTAATATCTGCTTTGAGATTATACCTGCTGTTCAAGTTCCCTAATTATGGCCCCAACTTCCAGATATTCTTGTTTTGTAATGAAAAAGTTTTGTATAATGATTTTGTATTTGTTTTAATTTATAATGTGCATATGTGTGATATTATATAAGTACATATGAATCTCAATTTTAAACCAAGCCTGGTGGCCCCCACCTACGGATAATTCTGCCACTCAGGAGGCTGAGGCAGAAGGATTACCGCAAGGTCCAGTCTGGGCTATTGTGACTGCTATGTAATACACTGTCTGCATAAATGCACACAGACACAGACACACACACAAACTCAATTTTACACACACACAAACGTACATACACCAAAGTTGATTTTAAGCACTGTGCTGGCTGAACAAAATTGTCTACAGTAAAATCCTTAATTAACTAATTCCAACCAAGGCCTAGTTACAGAATCTCAAAAACCATAAATAATTCTGGCTTGCTTTTTAAATGATTGAAGATTTTACTAAAATAAAACTGAGTTCAGAAATCCTAAATTCTGTAAATCTGAGATTAGAAGGTAGGTGCATTTAAGAAACAACTAAAGGAAGGAAAGAGGGATCAGGAAAAACAAGGCCTTGAACTGGAGGAACTCACATCATACCTCACATGATGGAATACAGTGGACCAGGGAGGGGTCTGGGTGCCACTTGCGCCGGCCAGTACACACGATGCTCTAGAACAGAAACACGGGAAACAGAGACATTAGGTCTATGGGAGACATGGTCAGTTCCGTGTTTGCCCCACAGCCAACTCTGGTGCTTTGAAGGCAAACGTCCTCTCCATGTGCCTGGCAAGCACCTGGTCTTTCTCACTGAAGCTACTAACCCTGCTGGGTAGTGTGAAGACAGAAGAAACTTTCCAAGTGGGAACTTGGTGCCACCTTCATCTTCTTGTTCGTTCCGTAAGGTATTAGACCTTTCAGAGTACTGAAGGTAGTATTTGAAAAGGCAATCACAACACAATGAGTGCAATCTGTTCTTAGGCAGAAGACTAAAATTTTAAGTAATTTCTAAGAAATTATTACATGCCTATGTTAGAAGAGCCATGACTTAAAAAAAAATTCTTTTTCCTAGAATTCTTGAATGCATAGCACTTTAAGAGCCAAAGCTAGCCCTTTAAGCCCCACCTGCCCAAGGGCAAGGTGAGTTTCCAGAAGGCTGAGAACTGCAGTTCTTGAGGAATAACTTGCCTCATGTTCACTGCCCTCAACAAATCTGTTTGAATGACTAACGGATATGCTCGATCACATATAGGTGGGAAGTGTACAGACAGGAAATACATTGAGATGTATGTTTGCCCCTGATTGGACTTCATGGGAAATGCAATGAATTATGGGTTTTGCCTTTTTAAAGTCCTACAAAGTGTAACTTATGACCATTGCCTGGGAATCCCAGAATGAACCTGTCTGGAGTCCATCCTGGTCAGTATTTAGTTAAAGCTTGCTTCGAATGTGGCTCAAAATTGTGGAACTGGTGTTAACAAGTATGCCATTGCTTGAGTGCCCTTTTAACTTATCTGACCTAGCCCATATGGATAGCCAATTTTGTTATTTTCATCCCTTTCGCTATGTATATTCAAAATCCTTCTCATATGTGCAAATTTAAGATAAATTCATCACAGTAAGATTGACAATACTCACGATCTTTAAATGCTAATTCAGTTCTCAGAGTAGTTTAGACTGCCATTCCTCCTTAAACTGTATAAGTTGCTAAAAGTGGGTAGTATGTCTGTTGTACCCATCCTAGAAGCCAAATCCTTAAGAAAAAGGCCCGGTCTCCCCAACTTATTCTTTATGTCAACTTTCAGGCAATTATAAGCACTGGACAACTGCTACAGGTGATTCTGGGCCTCTAGGCCTAGAAAAGAATCGGATTCGCTTCTCACCAGGCGTTCACACTGATCTGTCCGACTCACTGCCCCCACTCCACCCCAGTTCACTTCCTTCTTGCAGTTTCTGAGGAACACTTGCAATTGTCTTTGTATCAGGGACCAGTAGCTCCACCTCACCATATAAGATACGGATGCCCTTATAGGTAAGTGCTGTGTTTGTGGGTGGATGACTTTCATAAGCCGGGAGATTCAGAAGCCTGGGGGCCCAGCATTACATTTAGCAGTTGTTCAGTGCTTGTAATGTCACCTGCCTGAAAGTTGACATAAAGAAACGGACAGGAAGACCGGGCCTTTTTCTCAAGAATTTGGCATCTAGGATGGGTAAAACAGACATACTACCCACTTTTAGCGACTTACACAGATTAAGGAGGAATGGCAGGCTGAACTACTCGGAAGACTGAGTTAGCATTTAAAAGTCAGTGAGTATTGTCAGTCTCACTATGATGGATTTATCTTACATTTGCACATATGAAAGGATTTCACATATACTTAGTTATAGCAAAAGGAATGAAAATAAGAGAATTGATTTTGCACGTGTGCTAGGTTAAATAGCAAGGAGCAAATGATAATGAGAAGGGAGAATGAGACCATGTACTGAGAAGTCAGAGCTCCCACACTGCAAGACCTCTTTATCCCCTCCCCTTCTCTTTTCCTTTAAACTATTCTGTTTACTAAAAGTACCACTAGTTCTTTCAGGATTAATTTGAGAAAGCAAATCAAAATAAAGATAAAAAGCTTTGACATCACTCAGCTACTGAAGGACTGGGAAGCTGACAGGGATCACAGATAGTCTTACAAATGGTCCTTCCAAATCTGTCCCTTGGGGAAGCCTTGCTAGCTCACACCTGACTAAATCATAATTATGATCATACTTTTAAGACAGAGGGGAAAGCATTGTTCAGTCTGTGAAGTAGGAATCTATGAGGCAGAATAATGGGGGTGGGGTGGAGAGTGAGAGGCAAAGGTAGATGCCTCATGCTTCAGAAGGAATCACTTTCAAATACAATTTAGGGAAACGTAGTTCCAGCCAAACAATTGCTGCATTGCGTTAAAAACAAATCAGCTCATAAAATGAGTTCTGCGTCTTTCCACGTTAAAATATAGATTTTCCCATTTTGAAGTCAAGCTATCACAAGCCAACCTCATGAAGGGGCAGATGAAGATAACCATAAACAGTTCACCTCACCCCTACATAGGATTTTAGAAAAAACAAAGCTTTGAGAAGTGTCTCAGTAGAGGCTTCCATCCTGCAGGTTCTCTGCCTTCCTACACTGTGTTCATTCTATGATCATCCAGGATATGATGCTTGGATGAGGGCGAGGTGTCTACCTACTTTGAGGACTCTTTCCGCTCAGTATGAAGTTGGGATAGCATGTCAAATGTAGGAAAAAGAAAGAAATCAAGAGAAGAAAACACATACTGCTGGTCTGGAGAAGTGTGTCCCACACTCTCAGGAGCTTGGAGATGCTGGACTCTTGGGAAATAAAGGCAGATGTCAGGAGACAGCAGCAACTATTCCTTGGAGTCAGGATATGAACTGTGGTATCAACACTGACTCAGCACAAAGCACCCTACCTCTCCTTATTGTCAGATCCCACTGCCCGGTCATCATGTCAAAGACCCAGAATGTCAAAGACCCAGAATGTCTACCTGGGAATTTCATACTCTGGCCTACTGTCTCTTACAGGAAATGTGTTCTTGTAAAACTGAAACAGAATAGTGTGTGGTGGTGGTGGTGGTGTGTGTGTGTGTTTGTGTGTGTGATCACTCTGTCCTATGCATCACAAGAGATTTTGAATAAGCATGTGATCAAACCAGACTCTGAATGTGGCTGCCAATGGGGACGGACTGAGAAGCCATCGATAATGGCACTGGGACCTGTTTCTACTGCATGTATTGGCTTTTTAAGACTCTAGTCTATTTGGATGCACACCTTCCCAGATGTGAATGGAGGGGGGCGGGCCTTGGACTTTGCACAGGGCAGGGTTCCCTGCCCTCTCTTAAGGAGGGAGGGGGAAGGGAAGAGGGTAAGTGGAGAAGCAGGGGGGGCGGAATGGGAAGAAGGGAGGAAGTGTAAATTTTTGAATTAAAAAATAAAAAAAGAACAAAAAAAAAAGAAATGGCTTTCTTAGTCAAAGTTGGTGCAATACGATGTATTGAAGGGGCATTGATTCTTTAGTTTTCCAAGCCATGTTTGTAAAAGGATAAAGAAAGAAGAGCAAATGATTCAGATATTTATCTACACATACACACACACACACTCACAAGCAAACCATGAATCAATGTTTTCTTGTTCTATGGAGCTAAGTGGCACAATCTTCACAGAGGTGGAGAAGATTTTATAAGGGTAAATTTATACTAAACAAATTAAGATATCACTTAAACTTAAGATTTATGTGATAAAAACTGTGCTGGGTGTTTCTCGTGTGTGTGTGTGTGTGTGTGTGTGTGTGTGTGTGTGGTTTTTTTTTTAACTTTTATAAGAACACTGCAGAATAAGTAGTATTTCCTTCACCTTGAAGGGGAACGCCCAGAAGCTTTGAGTGCAAACCACCTTCCTCTCTCTCAGTTGTTTCTTAGGAGTATTTTTCATCAAAACCCCCAGACAATCTAGATTTTAGGAAATTGTTTCTTTAATAAAATATATAGTATTCTGAATCTCAGCCATCATTTGCAGGAATACAAACCAACTGGCCCTCTAGAGAAGAGTAAATAACTCTAGAGAAGAGTAAATAGCCAGCTGAAAGCATAACTCACTGTTCTTTAAGAGCAAAACTAAACTCCAAATTCTATTCCACAGAAAGAAAATCAGTGTTAGAGGGAAATGTTTCTCTTTCAATGATTTTTCTCCCACTTTCGTGATAAGGGAAGGAAATGTGGAGACTGGTATTTTTCATGCTCAAAAAGAATAGCCCATTTTCTGTTTCATGGGAAAACTATCCCAAGCAGATAGCTAGAGGGGAAAGGACAGCTGTGGTTGTGGTGATACAGGTACTGGCACACAATTTAGAGTCAAGGACCTTGTTTATGTGTGGTTTACAAAGTGAGTTCCAGGATAGTCTGTTACACAGAGAAATCCTATCTTGGAAAAAACAGAAAACAAAACAAAAGAAGAATAAGAGGAGGAGGAGGAGAAGGAGGAGGAGGAGGAGGAGGAGGAGGAGGAGGAGGAGGAGGAGGAAGAAGAAGAAGAAGAAGAAGAAGAAGAAGAAGAAGAAGAAGAAGAAGAAGAAGATTGCTTAGACATTTTCTTCACTTGACTTCTTGACAACTGTAAAATTTTGGATATATTATCGAGCAATGCCTATGTATATGTAAAGTAGAGATAATAAAGTATTTCTAAGCTTATTAATTTGTGATGAGATTCAGATTATATAGAGAAAACATTTATATACATAATTACACATATGTAGTTACATATATATATAACCTGAATCATATATATGTGTGTGTGTATATATATATATATATATGTGTGTGTGTGTGTGTGTGTGTGTGTGTGTGTGTGTGTATAGTAATAGTAGTGGTGGTAGTAGTGGACATACACAGGAGTTTGGAAAGAAGGTATTATTCAAATATAAGCTATCACTCTTGTTACAAAGAATGAAGTCATTTGAAGCAGGATTTAGAAGGGTATCATTTAGTTCTTTACTCTGTGGTCTCATTGGATGCAAAATGATTTGAAATATGATAGACAGCAGAGATTTCCATTACAGAGATGAGAATTATTTATCAAGCAATTGAACTATACTCAAAACAGGTGTTCTTGAACTTTTAATATTTATGCTGCAATTATTTGTTTTCCACAGCATCATGACACCCATCTCAAGATTTCTGCTACTACATCTGTGTCCCAGAACATTGTGATGGGACACACATCCCCAAATTATAAAGAGCAGGGAAGTGTCACAACAGAAGATAAGGAGTGGGCACAAGCAAATGAAGCTTTCTTGCTTGGCAACTGATTGAGAAAGACTATTAGGGACCAATCAGTTTAAACTCTCTTCATATGGTTCTCCTCTGATTCTGAGATAACCCATGGAGATGTCAATGATCACCATTTTACTTGAAGAATTAGAAACCCAGAACAATGAGCAGATTGTCTGAGGCCATTGTTCTGGTGACTAGCAGAATTCAGGTGAGTGAGTTCAGCTTTACGAGAAACAAAAACATTTTCAGGTCTGGATAGCTCAGCAGTTAAGAATGTTTTCTGATCTTACAGAGAACCAGCACTCAGTTCCAAGCACCCACACCTGACAGCTCACAACCACACAAAAGTCTAGTTCCAGGGGACCCAATGTTGTCCTCCAGGCCCTGTATGCACTCTTACACACCTAGCATACATATATACATATGCACATGAATGCAAATCGAATCTTTAAAAACTATATTTTAATGCCTAGACTGCAGGGTTTCACTGTTGCTTAAATATCACATATAAACAACTTGTGTGCTGATGGAGGTGGGTCTTGTATCTTATCTGTTGCTTTCATTGGTTAACTAATAAAGAAAACTGCTTGGCCTGATAGGACAGAAAATTAGGTAGGCGGAGTAGTCAGAACAGAATACTGGGAGAAAGAAGCCGAGTCAGGCAGTCACCATTATTCTCCCACTCCAGACAGCTGCAGGTTAAGATCTTCCCTGGTAAGCCACCTTGTGGGCTACACAGATTATTAGAAATGGGTTAGATCAATATGTAAGAGCTAGCCAATAAGAGTCTGGAACTAATGGGCCAGGCAGTGTTCAAAAGAATACAGTTTCTGTGTAATTATTTCAGGGCATAAGCTAGTTGGGGGCCAGGAGCCGAGTGGCAGGAACGCGGTCCGCAGCTCCTTCAACAGTGTGCAAAACTAAAAATTTACTAATCAGAATATAATCATGGCAAATACAAAATAAGAATGATACTGTTCAATGTGCTGGCTTAAGAGGAGATGAATGTTCTGCATTTCCTTGGCCAGAGTTAACTCTACATTAACAAGGATGTGTTTACCCATAGCAGCAAGAGGCTGCTCAGATTTGGCTTGTGTGAGGAGAAAATATTTGTTTCTCAACTAGAAAGTGGTATTCTAACAATTCTTTACTCAATGCTCTTAAGATGCTTAAGAGCACCAGGTACTGAACAGGGCATCAGGCACCCAAACATGGACAAAATGCATTAGGACCTCTCTAAGTAAGTAATGGCCCTCCTAAAGGACAGAGGAGGAAAGGGAGGCTTCATCAAGAGAGAGCAGATGGTTCTCTACTCTGGAATGAGTCTGTCTCTGTAATAGTTTTCCTGGTTGTCTTCTGGAGGACAATGACTCCAAACAGTTGCTGCCACTCAGGCGTTCCCAAAGAACTTCTACCATAAACCAAACTATTCCTCACTCTGCATTATACAGTGTTTCTGAATGTCAAATCAGCATCTTTCATAATAAAACAAAATCAAAACCAAGTAGCACTCTGCATTATACAGTGTTTCTGAATGTCAAATCAGCATCTTTCATAAGAAAACAAAATCAAAACCAAGTAGCAATCTACTAATTAACAGTAAATATCACATTTGGGGCTCAAGCCAGTGAGGATAAGAAGAAACTTAAGAAAAATTTATGGCCTGGTGGTGGGGCACACCTTTAATCCCAGGACTTGGGAAGCAGAGGCAGGTGGATCTCTGTGAGTTCAAAGACAACCTGGTCAATAGTGTGAGTTCCAGGACAGGCTCCAAAGCCACACAGAGAAACTCTGTCTCCAAAAATCAAAACAACAACAACAAACAATAAAACCCCCAAAGCAAAAAACAAAGCAAAAACAATTTATGAACAAAATGTATAGATTCAGAACACACGCCTTAGCAAATTTTTAGCAAGTGGCTTTCAAGGATTTAATTGAAGATTCTAAAGCAGGCATATCCCATTCCACCTTTATTCTGAGAAACTACAACTCATAGCAAAATATTTGCCATTTGACTCTTGACTTTTGTTTTCATTTCTTTTGTTCATTTTCACAAATAGCAATTGAACACTTAGCATTTCCTAGATACCACTTTGAGAAACTAGATATTAAACAATGGACTAAAGAGACATTACCTCTCAGTTTATTTCAACTGCAGAAATATGTATGCAAAATTCTAAATGGGGATGTTATCTGGAGGACCTATGTCCTGGGAGCTAAAATGCTTAAAACTAGGAGGAATGTACAACTTAAGGCTCAGAGGACAGTGGCCATGAAGATGGTGAAGCTTTTATTCTGTTGACATTAGTCACAAGTGTGGTAGGTTCTCGGGAGGAAAAACAGTTTGGAAGAGGCTCTGAGAGAGGAGGACAGTCATCCCTCAACATAGACACTAAGACATGAGCAGTGAGAGAAAGACACTGTCGAGCCTTCTGGAAGGCTGTGATGTCAGGGAGGACCAGTTTTCAAGTGTGAGAAAGAGCAAATGGGGTTCCCAGAGAAGAGGTCAAAGGTAGAACAGATTTTGCTGATGACTATGAAGAGGACCCTGGGGAAGGATTTCAGGGTTTAGAAAAAGGGAGGAGAGGGGAAACTGGATCCTTTTCTCATCCTGTCTGCTACCTGCCTTCTCTCCAAGTGTAGATTTACTTGGACCTTTTCTAATATAGTCTTCCTCCTTCCTCCTCTTACCATTGTATGTTCCCTCAGTTTATCCTCACGTTTTCTGTCTTGTTTTCATTATTCACTTTCTTCCTCATTGCTTCCTCTGAGCCTTATTTCTAACTTCCCTTTTAAATGGATTCCCCCCACCCCCGTCACTTTTCTTCCGTTCTTATCTAATAGTTTGTCCTTGATTATGGGAATCATTCGCAGGGATGTTTGATAGCAGGATATTTGGAGAACATCTAATGTTCTGCCAGTTGAGTCTTGGTTGGCAGCCTCTGCACTCACAATGCACAAAACTGATCCTTCCCTCACCTGGACTTTGACAGGTTCCATCCAGTGCTCCAAAGTGTCAGTAGTCACGTTCTCCGGCAGCAGCACAGGATCGCTAGGGGGGATGATGCATGATGGAGAACACACTGCACCTGAAGGAATGGAAGTGTATAGCCGAGCCATGGACCTCCCAGACCACACTTGTTTTCAATGCTTGCTTAGTCTACATGAAAGAAGTCTATACTATCGGTTATAACATCATAGTAGTTATAAGCAGGGCTGACTTCTGCCCCTGGCGTACTTGTAGGGGACTGTTACATAAGGTCATAAAGAGCCAGTGTGACAAACTAACTCTCTCCTTTCTCCATGTGCCACCTCCTCTGCCTGGTCCACTATATTCTTTCCTCAGGAACTGATACATCTCTGAGTCATCCAACAATTAAAAGATTGATTTCTGGTTTAGCAGATTGCCACATCCCCAAATCAGAGCTCCAGCTAGTCAAACTCTGTATTGAGTGACAGATGCCTTGTAAGTATATTTAATATCATTCTGATCTCCCAATAGCTTATATTGATAGCTCCTGTTACCTTGTAGCTTCAATACAAGGAGGAAACAGTGCAGAGGTTATTATATTACCCCAGGGCTTATCCTATTTTGCCAGTTGGCATGCTGAAGATCATTACATACACAACCAAGAAACTTATTTGGGTAAGGGAGGAAACAGGCAAAAGAGGAAGCAGAGATTTTGGTCTCTCAAAGAAAAATCTTGTTCTGTTTGCTTACATGGCAGACCCAAATGCCTCTTCCTCAAAGCCTAATCAAATGAAACTCATTTCTTTCCTACAATGTAAGTAGTCTCTAACTTCCTTTTCATTTCTGTGTCTTTAAGTAAACAATACATTATTTTTAGGAGCCAACATATATGTATAATAAAATAAATAAAAATCAGAAATTTTGAGGGTGAGTATCTGCTTATGAAACACCACTGAGTAGACATCTGAGATCCCTGATAATCCAGTTCTTTGTGTACTATGATCAGCAGAAGACATTAAAATACAAATAATACTTAGAACACAGTGAAGAATCAATTCAGAAATGACTGGGTTTTCAATTAATTCATATTACGCACATTTATATCACATGGGTTAGACTCTCCCAAGAAATTTTCAGGTCTATGTAATTCAGAATTTAGATACGATCTCATAAGGTTTCACATTACAAATCTTTTCTGTGATGTGTAGGGCCAGCTTAGACAAAGTTGGCTCAGCCTTACTCCAAGTGGCTCTGGCCCCAAACAATTACTTAAGTACTTGCCCACAGGCTATGGAACCCAGTCCTGTGTAGAGAAAGACTAAGGAACGACGTGAGCGGTGCCACCTCAAGTAATCCTGCCCACACCAACAGGTAATATAGGAGCCCAGCACCATGGGGTGGGATGCAGCTGATCATTCCTTTCAGGGCTACAGATCCAGCCACAGCTACATGCTTAGTCTCAAAGCAAAGTAGGCAACATGAGCAGATATCCTGTGCTTACCGATCCCATATCCCTGTCCACACTTGTACTCCACAGAATTCAGCTCGGAAGGGGGTGGCGGGCATTCCCCTTGCAGATTTTCACACAACTTAAATTCCTGGGTCCACAGCCCCTCTTTAGTGCAGAGGATGGGAGTCTAGAACATCAAAGATAAGAAACACCACTATTGTTATTTTGATAATTTCATGGTAAGAAGGGGGAAAGTGGTCTGGTTAGTGACAATATCCTTTAACTTCTGGATATTGGGCTAAACGAGGATTAAAGCAATACGTTGAGTTAAAAAAAATGGCAAAAGAAGGAGGAGGAGGAAGAAGAGGAGAAAAGGAAGAACTGGAGGAAAGAATCAAGAACTAACAGTACAACCTAAGACAATGTCTTGCTGTTGCCACGTGGAGGAATCATGAACAACTTCTCCATTCGTGAAACTTACTACCATTATATTCTCCTTCAGCAATGAGAATACAATAAACTGACCAGAGACGTATATTCTGATCTATTTTGAGAAAAGTCCCACAGATGGTGTGGCTTTTACCAATATTTGTACATATTATCACACCAATGTCGCCTGTGGCAAATTCCCAGACGGGTTTTGTATAGTGAAAGCAATTAACAATTTTCCTGAAGGTTTGTTTTTTTTCCTCTCTACTGAAACACACATATTATTGCTGCTTTCACCCTGCTTGAAGTCTGTTCCCTTTCTCCACATGTCTGCTGCCTGGTATAACTCTTGGCTCACCTCCCCCCACCAACACCACCAATCAATGTATACTCTACCTGGATGGAACAAAGAGAAAATTAATAGCTATAAACCCCAAGGGGAGAACTAGAGATTTATCAATAACTCTGCCTTTGTCTGGCAAACTCTGTGCTTTCTTAACTAGTCAGTTCACACAGGCATGTCTGATGTCTTCGGATCTCATTTTGTGGTCCATTCCTTTCACATCAGTTCTGCAATATTACATTGAATACTGGACACTAAGTTCAAGTTAAGCCGAGGGAGCAGGGAAGGCCATTGATCTTTGTCTCCAAAGTCTACTTGACTTCCTGTTTCGTGTATGTGTCTGGGATGCTTGAAAAAGTGTCTCCAACAAAGCTTGAGTTTAGTCACACAATCATGATAAGACTGTGGTTTTTAGTTCAGACTTGTGCCAGAATCCTAGGGAGGGGGACTAGTCAAACAGCACTTTAATAAGCTTTGCTGAATAATTCGTGTTTTTGTTTGGACTCTGTTCTACTATAAAAGAGGTTCACGACTCCTGCATTCCTGCTCATTAGGTCAGTGCACTCATGAGAGTTGACTGCATTGCCAAATCTGCATCCTAGACTGGCATGAAAAGAGCCCTGGTACCCTACTCACTGGTGCCTTCTCCTTATCCCAAAGAGAACTGAATTTGGAAGGGAATGCTCCAAAACACCAGTTCTCTTCGGATCTATGGAATAATATCGGTGCCTCTCATTAGAACCCATCTGCTTACGGACCTGCCTGCTGCGTTTCTTTCAGCTCACTTCTTCCCAGTATTCATGTCATGGCCATGATCATGGAGAAGAAAGCAGAGTCCCATCCTAATGAGGTTCATAGTCTTCCTTACCCTTTCCGTTCCCTGGTTGCAGCTGAGCACACACTGGCTGTCCAGTCTGAAGCCATCGGTACACTCATACATGCCTTCAAACACAGGAGAAGGAGGCTCGCACACCACTGGGCTGCAGCTCCTCTGTTCCCAGGTTCCATCGTCCAGGCATTGTATCTTCAGGAACTTACTAATGAGACATGAAACCAAACAGCCCATCAGAGAAGACTGGAGCCTCAGAAAGGTATGATAAATATTAGCATAGGGGAACAGCGACGTGCTCAGGAGGTAAAGTTGCCAAGCCTGAGCTGAATCCCTGGAATCGACATGCTGGAAGTAGAGAAATGACTTCCAAAGTTGTCCTGTGACCCCCACAGATGCCATGTCATATGTATGGGACCACACATCACACACACACACACACACACACACACACACACACACACACACACTGGAAATAAAAAAGGGCAGGGCAATTGGTTCTATTTAGCCAAATGTCCCATTGTGGCTCATTAAGCCAAAACTAGTGGTGTTTATGGACTGACAGTGGTGGGAGGTCTTGCACATTTGACTTACTCCTCCCAGGAGAGCTGATAAATAGCATAGCAACTAGACTGTTGATGGGCACAGTCTCACATCTGAGACCAGAGAGAGATGCCGTGTAGTCAGAGTTGTCAAGACACTCGGGACGCATCGGGTAATAACGTTCTGTGGTGATATCGTTGTGGAAATTGGTAATGTTCATTGTCATTACCTCTTTGAGGAGAAAGAGTCCAGCAATGTATTTGTCTAGAACAGAGGTCCTCCTGACCTTCAAAGGACAGTCTCTCCACTGACATCACTATGGCTGCTTTGTTTGTTTACAAGTTCATTTTTCTTGGAATATGTTCATAGCTTTCATCAGATCTGTGAGCTGATGTGACTCAGTACGGTCCTGGAAGAACCGGCCCTCCATTTCATGTCCAGACATGGCCCCTGAGCAGAGACTGTGCTCGAGAGGGCAGGAATGAAAACACCAGAGTTCTTGGTACTGTCGAGTCCGTTCCACTCCCCGCTGACTCATTGCAGCCAGGAGGTGCTTTCCAGTTTGGCTGTTTTCGCATACCTACTTCTGATTCATAAAACTCGCAGTTACAGATAAGCTTGTCATTGAAAATATAAATAATCCTTTGACCATTGGCTCTCTATACCATGTAGCTGGTGGTTTTAAGTTGCTTGCTTTCTTGTGTGAGTGTGTGTGTGTGTGCGTGCGCGCGTGCAAGTATGTTTTGAGGCAGGGTCTCATGTAATCCAAGCTGGCCTCTTAGCATCTGAGGGTGACCCTAAACTAATGGATCCTCTTACCAACATTTCCCAACTGCCTGGGCTTACAGGCTTATGCTACATGCCCAGAACATTAACATGATGTTTTCTAGTGTCATGATATCATTTTAACACTTAAGATATGTGCATCATCCCATATATGCTTTTAACCATCATAAAATGCCTTCTCTGTGCTTGTAATGTTCTTCCATTTTCTACCAGAGAAACATAGACCACCCTGGTATATGCAGAAGTCAGGTTTTTCCACAGGGTTGGAAACTTGCAGAAGGCACCAGCTGTTTCCTTTCTTGTTTTCAATTTTTAGGATGCAGTATTTAGCCTATATTTGGAACTAAGAAAATAAATACTTTATTTTTAAACCACTGATTTGCAATGAGCAACATCAGGTACATTGCAAGACTCCTAAACAAACAAATCAATCGACTCAACATAGCTCTAAGAATAAAACTCTGCTTTTATCTCAACTATAGAGAAAAAGAACATACCATGATGTTAAGTCCTTTTCCCAGGATCTTACACCACTGGATGCATTTGCTTTCAAACAATTTGAATAACATATTTTTAATACTATCTCCGTAGAAGGCTGTGTTTTGCACAAGGATCTCACCATCATAGGTTAGTGGTGTCAACTGTGAACCTCTATGCTAATGAAAGAGCAGGCTATGTATTATTTAGTACATCCTCCCCACAAAGATGATACTTAAAGATGGCTTCCAAAATTGTTTTCTAGCAAAGAATTTGAAGCTCATTTTCCTGTAATGAGGCTCCTTTGAAATCTCCCTTAAATTCTTCCTTTACTCTGCAGATTTTAAACTCTCACGGGGAACTCTCCCGCTTCTACATTTGAGACCCTTCCTATAGCTCTGCTGAACTGACATTTCCCAAATGAAGAGAGCCAGCAACACCACTGACACTAAGAGGGAGGCAAAGCTGTACAACCCTTGCCTGTCAGCACGGTTGCAAAGGAAAACCCTTGCTTGGCCGGGATGATAATATTTTTACTTCATGTGGTATTTTTCTTTTTCTCTGAATTGGTTTGAAATAGTTTAACCATGGAAACAGTCTCCCCTTTCCTTGCCCGGAGTGAGGAATCATTCAAGAATGTCGAGTTCATGCATTTCCTTGCCAGTTTAATAACCTCAGAGGTGAAAGTAGACAGATTAAACTTGCATGGGGAAGAGTGAGTTCGGGTATTTGGGGTTGTACCCACACACTATGACAGGACCTGGGCTGCAAACAGGCAACAGGAAGAGATGAGGACTGATGTGTGGTAGCAAGAGAAGAAACACAGTTGAGAGTACAGTCCCTGGACTGGGCAAGCATGAAGGGGAGGCCGGGAGCATCGTCGTTTCCTAGGCAACCGGGGTCCGTTCATAACAGTCCTTTCCTACACTTCTCCCAGTTTCATGAGTTCTCCTTCCTTGTGCTTTTTTTTTTCCCTTTGGAAAGCAGTTGATTTTACATAGCTGTGTTAGTTCGTTTTCTCATGGCTGTGACCAAGCACCTGACAGAGAGCAACAGTCCAGCGGAGTATAGTCTGCCATGGCAGAGGAGGTGTAGGCATAGGACCAAGACTGTCCATGGTGCATATATTGCCAAATATCAGGAAGCAGAGAAAGGGGAATACTGGCTCTCTGCTGACTTTTCCCTTTTCCTCTTTTTATTCATCCTAGTCTCCATCCCGGGGCATGGTGCCATACACATTTGAGGAGCGTTTTTCTTTCAAGCTTTTCCTCAGTTAAATTTCTCTGAAAATACTCAGAGATATATGCAAAGCTGTGCCTCATTAATGCTCTGTGTGCTTCTTAATCCAACCAAATAGACCACGCAAGTGAACCATTACTGCAGCCATCTCCAGGTTTTCTGTTTGTTTGTTTTTCAGGTCCTGTACCTCTCCATCAGATGATACGGTTAAGACCCTACCTTCAGACCACTTCCAAAGCATTCAACAGGTTCCGCGTGGCCCAGTGATGTGAGATGCTTCGATCTGGTGATCACGCTTACGTGTGGATTCACAGTTAATGGCCTGAGTCTTCAGCGTCATGGTATGGAGATTGTGTGCCATGAGGCCCTTCTGGCCGTTTTGTTACATTCCAAAGACACCATGATTATATCAGAAAATAAGAATTCCTTGGATTAGTTCTAGCTCCATAAAACTTGGCTTCTTTCTAAGGCCTGTCTGAGGGGGGCTGAAACTTAAAACATTCCTCCTAGTCTGCTTTATTCAGTTACTATTGTACCAAAATGATTGTTCTTTCTCTAGCTCCCCAGTCTATGTCAAAACTTTAATCCTCGGTGTGATTACACTAGGAAGGAGGGCATTGGAGGGATAATGAAGGCATAAGACGGCAACCTCATGACGGGACTAGTGCCCTTAGACAAAGGGGCACAAATGCTTCCCTGCCTTGTCTACACTCTTCCCTATGAGGACACAGCAGAAAGAAGAGCATTTGCACACAGGGCTGCCTTCAGAGAAGACATCTGCCAATTCTGTCATCAAGAACTGCGAGGCATGAATGCCGGTTAGGCTGAGACACTCAGTCTATCATACTGTTACTGCAACCCCCAAGACCACAGAACCTCTGGGACATGATCTGGATCACTGCTTCTGCATGTCTCCTGACGTGGGGATATCGCATACTGGCCTCTCAGTCTAATAGGATTATTCTTGGGGGGGAGGGGGAGGCATTACTCCTAATGGTCCACTTCCTTCAGGCAATGTGTGCAAACCAGGAGCCAAGAAACTCTTTGAAGTCATGGTAGGAAGGGATTTGCGTTTCAAGGAATGATAGCTGTAAGCACTGAACCAAATCATGCAGACAGGTCCTTGTCAAGACAGGATCCAAGACTTCCTGGAAACCTCCTTCCTCTTCTTTCTGCATAACATCTTCTGCTCACATCTATCTCCTTTTAGGGATAAGTCCCGCCCCTTGGGGAGCGTGTTAGCCTCGGGCTAATGTTTGCCTATAAATTTGGCGAGCATGCTCCCAGCGGTTGCTTCTGCTTTCCTGGTCTCCACGGGAACGGTGGTTCTGTAAGTCTATTTCTACATTAAAGCTATATATTATATATATATTTACAATCTGTCTGCATTCGTTTACGCCATTACATTTTGGCACCCAACGTGGGGCTATTTTGCCCCCGACTCAAGCGGGTAGCCCGCTAGCTAACACAGCACCCACCCGGGTGCTGTTTTTTAGTTCGTGACTCGGGCCCCAGTGCCGAGTCCTAGACACACTCGGCCACACAGGCCCATTCTGCCTGCCTTGGCTAAGTTTGCAGCGGAACCCCACTGCCTGAATTAGCAGAAGCTCAAGTACTTGTGGTTTTGCAACAAAAGCCGCCACAGTGGCAGATTTGGTCTGATACAAAGTGACTTGGCCCCGTGGTAGTGTTGGCGCACGCCTTTGATACCAGCACTTGGGAGGCAAAGGCAGGCGGATCTCTGTGAGTTTGAGGCTGGCCAGGCAGTGGTAGCACATGCCTTTAATCCCAGCACTTGGGAAGCAGAGGCAGGTGGAACTCTGTGAGTTTGAGGCCAGCCAGGCAGTGATAGCACACCCCTTTAATCCCAGCTCTTGGGAGGCAGAGACAGGCGGATCTCTGTGAGTTCGAGGCCAGCCTGGTCTACAAGAGCTAGTTCTAGGACAGGCTCCAAAAACACAGAGACCACCACTGGCAGGAACCGATCATTGCAGGTAAAAAATTTTTCTTTTATAAATGAAATGTCTGAACACATTAGTATTCAAGAATTTAACAGTTTTTTTAATTGTACCATGTGGGAGATTTTACAAGAGGTGTCTATCACCCCACATCTATGGATCCTTCTGGGATTCGTAGTTTTCATTGTCACTAAATGGTTTGATA